ACTTAGGAATGTCATCCTGTCTTCACCAATGTTCCAGTGACAGAAAGTATCTGCTTTCTATGATTGTTTTCAGTCCTGTAGTATAGACGTTTGCACACCATTTCACTACCTGAAAAAGCTCTTAGTCAGATAAAATTTCAAAGTATACTTCATATGTAACAATGAAATCTACAGGCAAAGAGAGGACGTAGAAATGGGACTGTAGGACTTCTCTTGGCAGATATTTTTCGGCAAGCTTAGAAACCAATATCTTATCGGTAAAAATCAATAGGCTTCACGTCTGTAAGAGATATGTTGACTATACTTTCATTATTTGTGATGTGAATTCGAATCTCGAAAACCTACTCATCTAAACAATATCCCTACTGTAGAAGTAGAATCTGGCTCAAAGTTTCAGTTCCTTCATGCTCAAATGCTAGAAGATGATAACTAACTGAAAAGATCTACCTACAAATAAAGGGTACGTGTGATGGACAGTTTATGAATTTTCAAAGTTCTGTATCTCTGAGCCGAAAGAAGTATCTCATCCACTCAGTTTCCTCAGGAATCTGAGGAATATATGTCGGATGACCTGTTGACGGGAAGCTGCACAACCCGAAAAGAGTTTTGGTGAGAAATGGCTTCCCGTGCAGATTCGTAGACAAGAAAGCTGCTGAACAGGTCTAGGTTATCCTCAAATAAAGTCTGCTGCTGAAAGGCAGAAATTCACCCAAAACAGCTTTCAGAATCTCTCAGTAAATTATACTTCGCTACCAGCTTAAGAATAGCTACCTTTTGCAAGCAGCTATTCGGTCAGTATGTAAAGGGCAAGCTGTTATATTGGGCCACATCAGCAATCACCTGTTCACTTGCTACTGCGGAGCTGAGTATGCAGGCTATACCATGCATCTGTCTGTAGGACTTATTTATGTAACACCGTCCCTCCTATCTGAGAAAGGCAAAACAGAAGTGTATCTATAATTCGACAACAGAACATCTCATGTACTCAGGACACTCAGTTCCCTTTGAGAAATCCTCTAAAGTCTTATATATGATCCGACCAAACGTCAGGTTTTCACCTGAAATTAAGGTATATCGGCACAGTTGACCGACGCTATGTATCTAAAAGAAGTACATTAAAGCTTTATTTTTAGAATGGTCACCATCATTTATAATCTGTTCTGTGAAGAAAATTATGTTTATCTGATTATGTGTGATTTTATCTGGACTACCAGTTTATTTTTTTCTTATTCCCTAATAATTACTCAAATAATTTAAGATTTTACTATACCTGGAAATTGGTTTATGCCTCCTTTTCTATACACTCACCATTTTATTGTCAGACAGTAGATAATCTGAAATGAAGGAGATTTGTAGTTTAGGTGGGTATTTTTTGCGTTGTTATATTCTCAGAATTTGATGGTTCAGTGGAGATTCGTACACCTAAGTGCCATCTTAATTTTAGCCGTATTTAGAATCACATAATTAGCACCATACACACGTATATCTCGAGAATATATAAGATGTTAGATTAAAAAAGGGAAAGTTGTGTCGATACCTCTTAATACGATTATCAGTGATAAGGTTATGCTTGAAACACTCTCCTATTGTTATTATCACTATTCCTTTGGGTTCTTGGTGGAATATAGGGTTTCAACCCCACATCTCCAATCTGTCTTGTTCTCTGCAGTCCTCTTTAGGTGGCTGTAGGACTGTCCATAGGCTTTCATCTCCTCATACGATTTCCTTCATGTAACCCTCGGATCTACATCCAATGCATCGTTTCCCACTCGGGTCTCCTTAGCGTGTGTCCGATCCATCTTCACTTCCTTCAGAATAGATGTTGAGCAATAGGTTCTTGATTGTCTGCTTCCCAGAGTTCCTTGTTACCAATCCTTTCAGGTCGGCCAGGTGATGGTATTTAGTATGGAGATGGCGAACGCAGGTGTTGATATAAGTCTGCAGTCTGTTCGAAATGCTTGTCGTGACGCGCACTCCAAGTTTCTGAAGCATTTAGAATAAATGCCTGAACATTGGTGTTGAGCATCCCAACTTTGTTCAGAATAGTGAACGAAATCCGGATTTTCAACACAAAAACATTATGTTGTATAATTCATACTACTTACTAGTGATAAGTAGCATAAAATGGACACAAAGGCGATAGTAACAAAGGATAGGTTAGAAAGGAATTTAATAATTCCCATTGTTGCATTAAGAACACAATATTCAGCGAAGAGACTCTTTTCGACGAATTTATTATCAAGCTGTACAATTGTATATATATGGTTTTTTTATAAAAATTATATCCGGTGAGGGAATTAGGTCAAAGGTGTGAATACATGAAATAATAATAGTATGAAATGCAACTAAAATATTTGTGATTATAATCATAGTTTAATGTCAAGTGGCAAAATAATTAATGTCGTATATAGAATAATACATAAGGTGTGTAGAATTTTGAAAAGGGGTACATAATTATAAGATTAGTAGACGAATATAAAATGTTACATAACATCGTGTGAAGTTTGATAAGATAGAATTCAATATTGTAAAAATAAAAATATAAAAATCAATAATTTTGGGTTTAGAATGTCAAGTGGGCCAAGTGAAAAAGATTCAGAGTGAGAATAGTAATAATAATAATGGTAATAATAATAATAATCGTAGTAATAAGGGGAAAGTACATAGAATAAATAAATAAAATAAATAAATCCTCTACGGCCACGGCAGAAGTAGGGATTGTACATACTTCTTTTGTACACAAAGGTCTGGCTTAAAGTCATGAATTGCCAAGACCTCAGCTGTCTTTAGAAGTCTGTAACGAAGAAAAAGCGGGAAGTTAGCATGGATTCTATATATGATCTTAAAATCATGGTCAGGGTTGACAGAGTGACAGAAGTCGATCAGGTGTTCCAAAATAGAGCTTCACACACACTTCCTTTCTCCCTTGTAAAACCATGCTGGAATATGTTCTCGTATCCGTGTGGAATATAAAAAAAATTATAAAAAAACCATATATATACGATTGTACAGCTTGATAATAAATTCGTTGAAAAGAGTCTCTTCGCTGAATATTTTGTTCTTAAGAAAGGAATTAACAGTAATCGTATGTAGTTTTCAATTATGCCAGGTCATATCCATTGAATTAATTATAGTTGTAGATAGTTGGAATTAATCACAGGCACTTGGTAGATTAATGTTACTGGCGCTTATTAGAATTGATGGTGAGACAACCTGAGATGGCACTGGGTTAGTAGATCTAAAGGTGTTATGGCTGATGATTAGAGGTGAAATTAAAATCTAAGTCGTAATAGGATTCAACACATCAAAGGACTGTCATATACCAGCTGATACAGTGCGGGACTAATATTTCAGAGACCTCTGGTCTACATTTCCACTTCAAGTTCAATCACCACCCATTATTAATCAAAATGCCACTATCCTAATTCCTTAGAAATATCGACCAATAGAGTAATGTATCTGCATATTTCACAGACATTTTTTTGTATTGTAGAGGATTTCTTGTAGGAATGATTCGATCATGTACACGAGTCTGTTAATAAGCGTCAGTTATATAGTCACATAATTTTATTCATTCACTTTTAAGGCAGTTTGGTGTTAGATAATCTTAAATGGTTGAGACAGAGTGCTTACAAACATAATATAACCCAATCACTTACCTCTCTAATTAGGGTAAAAATATGATCAACCGTTATTGTTCAATTTAGAAATCTCTTGGATGAATATCACCACAGATTTTTCCGTTGATGCTTACTATTCATTTATTCTAAACAGTATTCGCTTATGAATCCTTAAAAATGTTTAAAATTACAGTTTATTCCGAAGTAAATATATTCAACCATTCACAGTGAGCGTGTGTCGGCAGCACAGCGGTTAGGACGCTCGCCGACCATACACATGGTTCGGGGTTCGGTCCCCGCTCACGAAAGCATTCCTTTACCCCACTAAGCCGGAAATAAAGCTGGTAAGGAGGAAAGGTTGGATATGAGGCTAGCGACCCCATCCTGTAAAAATAAACACTGCTACAGAAACTTCAAGTCTCTAGCTTGAAGCCCTTTGTTCCACTGTGAACGTGAAGGAATAAAAAGAAAAAAGTAAAGAACTCACAGTTAACAATGGAGTGCAAGATTCGCGTTTTGTCGCATTTTGGACTTGCTACTTGGATGTCCCTGAATTCCAATGAGTGGCAGTGTTCCCACTAAAACCCGGACAGAGAACTCATCCTATAAAATGCAAAAAGGTTCATTCTCTCAGCACATCCAGGCGACGAGTCACCACCAACTGAATAACATCAAGTTTAGCTCAAAGCACCATGGAAGTGTTCTCATTAAGAGTTGATAAGCAAGAGGAGACCACATTCATTTCCGTCCAGTGAAGCCAAACAACTGGAAATCTGAAACCTTCAATAAATAATATTAAAATCAAGTTCATAAGCGATTATTGACATCTGTTCCGTTTTAGCCTGAATCTTTTCACCAGTACGTCTTCGCGATCACATCAGGCATGGAACCAAGAACCTCCAGGTCACAAGGTGACCGAGCTGTTATTCCTCTGGCTTATACTTCTTGGTTCTGAATGATAGATACTACCACTTTATATATTTTTCTGTTGACAAAATTTGTCGAATCGTACGTGACTATCACCACACCTGTCCAGAAAGTTCACTAAATTAATCTTTAATCATTTAATCTATGAAGTAAATGGGTCCCTAGAGAGATTAATGCCAGCATGCAAAAAGTCAGCAAAATGACTTAATCAGCATAACTATGTTGTCATTCACCTTCTTATATTCAGGACTCAGATATTATGAATACTGTCCTTAAATGACACAATTAATTCAATGAAGAAATTAAACATGAAAACCATACAGAGTCTGAATGATCAGAGACAAGGACTATATATATATATTCTCCGTGTCATTTCACACTGTTAATATCTCAACTGCACAACAGCTTCATAACAATCTGAAAAGACATTTAAAGCAACAGATACATAGAGAGATGAAAATAACATCTATCCTGTTGAAAATTCACATATTTCTTAGCATTATACTGGCAACATCCATTGATGGACAATCGGTTAATGTTGGAATGCACACATATAATAATTCAGTCAGTCTTCCATTACATTTATCTATGGAAAATAACTCAAGTCAAAATAACATGAATAACATACCGAATCAAAAAGACATGGACAGTGCAGCATCAATGTCAAGAAGTGATGATGATGATGATGATGTAGTAAATCAACTTCAAATGTCTTCTTTGATACTTAACAATTCATTGGAACATTTAAAGGATACTGCACAACAAGGACTTTTACACAAAAACCAACCACCTAAAACAGAAACTTCAGAAATGGAAGGTAAAAGTAATAAGAATTCAGATAAACATAACAATCCAACACAACAGCAATTTATATTACAAATACAAGGACCAAACCAAAAACAACTTGCAGTTCAAACACAACATGTAAGTGATCAAAATAAAACACCGATGCGCGTACAAACACAAATACAATATTCTGAGCAGATAATTCAACCTATGAGTGGAACAAATGAAAGTAAACAGTCATCAAATATATATCAAGAGCAATTTCAACAACCAATCAACACATTAGAAACAAACAAAAAAACCGAAAAAGAAAACAACCAAAGCAACAAAAACGGAGAGACGAAAACAGAAAATGAACACAAGACGATGACGACGGTCGGACAACCACCATCTCACAACTCACAAACACCACCACCACCACCACCGCCAGCACCATTTCCCCTCATTCCAGTCATCGGTCCCGTTGTAGACGGGATCAATCCATCTCCTGACCAGATGAACGCATCGTCAGTCGAACAACCACCTTCTCACAACTCACAACCACCACCACCATCACCACTTCCCGCCATTCCAGTTGTCGGTCCTGATGCAGGCGTCATCAATCCATCTCCTGACCAGATGAATGCATCGTCAGTCGACCAAACTCCATCCCACAACTCACAACCACCACCACCATCACCACTTCCCGCCATTCCAGTTGTCGGTCCTGATGCAGGCGGAATCAATCCATCTCCTGACCAGATGAACGCATCGTCAGTCAACCAAACTCCATCTCACAACTCACAACCACCACCACCATCACCACTTCCCGCCATTCCAGTTGTCGGTCCTGATGCAGGCGGAATCAATCCATCTCCTGACCAGATGAACGCATCGTCAGTCAACCAAACTCCATCTCACAACTCACAACCACCACCACCATCACCACTTCCCGCCATTCCAGTTGTCGGTCCTGATGCAGGCGTCATCAATCCATCTCCTGACCAGATGAACACATCGTCAGTCGAACAACCACCATCTCACAACTCACAACCACCACCACCATCACCACTTCCCGCCATTCCAGTTGTCGGTCCTGATGCAGGCGGAATCAATCCATCTCCTGACCAGATGAATGCATCGTCAGTCGACCAAACTCCATCCCACAACTCACAACCACCACCACCATCACCACTTCCCGCCATTCCAGTTGTCGGTCCTGATGCAGGCGGAATCAATCCATCTCCTGACCAGATGAATGCATCGTCAGTCGACCAAACTCCATCCCACAACTCACAACCACCACCACCATCACCACTTCCCGCCATTCCAGTTGTCGGTCCTGATGCAGGCGTCATCAATCCATCTCCTGACCAGATGAACACATCGTCAGTCGAACAACCACCATCTCACAACTCACAACCACCACCACCATCACCACTTCCCGCCATTCCAGTTGTCGGTCCTGATGCAGGCGGAATCAATCCATCTCCTGACCAGATGAATGCATCGTCAGTCGACCAAACTCCATCCCACAACTCACAACCACCACCACCATCACCACTTCCCGCCATTCCAGTTGTCGGTCCTGATGCAGGCGGAATCAATCCATCTCCTGACCAGATGAACGCATCGTCAGTCAACCAAACTCCATCTCACAACTCACAACCACCACCACCATCACCACTTCCCGCCATTCCAGTTGTCGGTCCTGATGCAGGCGGAATCAATCCATCTCCTGACCAGATGAACGCATCGTCAGTCAACCAAACTCCATCTCACAACTCACAACCACCACCACCATCACCACTTCCCGCCATTCCAGTTGTCGGTCCTGATGCAGGCGGAATCAATCCATCTCCTGACCAGATGAACACATCGTCAGTCGAACAACCACCATCTCACAACTCACAACCACCACCACCATCACCACTTCCCGCCATTCCAGTTGTCGGTCCTGATGCAGGCGTCATCAATCCATCTCCTGACCAGATGAACGCATCGTCAGTCGACCAAACTCCATCCCACAACTCACAACTACCAGCACCTTCTTCTGATAATTCTCTGCAAAATTCTTTTCTGAATAAGACATTTTCTGTTGTGTCTGTCGTAAAAAACATCTCAAATCTTTCGAATTATGACACTTACGTAGTTGTATTTAGTCGAATTCGTAATGATCACAATTTTTCTGGTACGCAGTCCTCCTCTGATACCTCTTCGAATAGTTCTATCAGCCATGTTACGAATCTTTTTGATGCTATTTCAGATATTTTCGCAATCTTTGTATACTTTTTCTCCGATAATAAAATTAATGATGGTTTAATTAATTCCTTCAGTGGTATGAGAGACGATAAATGTTCTACTGAAGAATGTCATCAGTTGCGAGATCATTTGATTTCTTCATTTCAATGGAATAAAGCAATTATAGTGGATCTTCATAAATCATGTAAGAATTCTAGCTTACTAACAGAAAGAAATTCTCATTTTATCAACTTGTTCAGAAGTTTCTGTGACAACTACTTTTCATTTTGATTACCGAAAGACATATTAATCTTAATTTAATTGACATGGTTGATAAATCTTTTGTCGGTTAATTTATTTGTCATTCAATTTTCGTTTATCTTCAGATGTTGAACATTGAAGAAAGACTGTTAAATATTTTTAAATGAATCTGGTTTTGAAAAGAAAACACCATTCTTCTGATACAGTCGTGTTTTGGAAAAACAACAACATATCAGTTGATGTTAGGCGAAAAGAATAAGCACTTCCAGGCATTTAAGTGAAAAATAATTATCATTACTGGTTGGTTAGCTCTTTAATTAGTATGAGACTTGCCGGTAAACTTATTTTAAAATATTTCTCATGCTTCCATATACAAGTACTTGTAGACAATTCACTGTTATTAAGTTATTTCAAAGATATATTTGAGTGATTAGCAGATGAGAAAACTTATTTCCTGTCATAGGGTTAAGTCATTTTGTAAACCTTCGGAGAACGCTTAACAGTAAATATAGTAAATTAAACATTTATACCGCAAGTTTAATGGAATAGGCTTATTTCATTCACTTCAGTAGAATATGAAAAGCTGTAGACTACTTGTATAATGTTACTTAGTTGTAAAACAGCATAATCATAGGTATGATCAGTGAACATAATTTTAAGACAAAGTAGGAAGCATACAGTTTGCTCAAAGACTATCAGCTTCCACACATGATTTGTTTAATACAATATCTTTTACAGGAATACAAACTAAAATAAAACATAATATCAAGTGTTGATTCGCAGGGTTCGAACCCCAACGGGCGCGTAGTGATGACGAGTCCCAAACTAGAGTGAAACAACGCCCAGTACTATCCGGTTTTTCAGTGCCTCTCCAAATGAGGTCAGCTCGTAATAATAATAATAATAGTATTGATCACGAAAAATACCCATTTGTTCATAAGTAAAAATACAGTTTTCTCTTTGTTCAGCGAAGAAATTTCTTTTCAAGGACTCCATTTTCAAGCTGTACAGTCGTATTTATATAACAGAAAAAGTTATTAAGTGGCACTAAATAACTGCTCAGTTAATATATATATATATATATATATATGATGAGAATAACGATAATTAAAATGTTATAAGGGGTAGAGTTGAAGTGGATGAATTACAAAATTATTAAAGATTGTTTTATGAGTGAATTGATATCAAAAATATATCTTTTTTTAATGTCAAGCGTTGTCTAAAAATTTTAAAAATTAGGAGTACGATTACGATAAGAATAAAAATGATGAAGTGAAGTGGAATGAATTCAAGTGGTAAAATAAAATAAAAACTAGAAAGAACATTAACTACGACCAAGGTAAAGAAAGGGGTTTGACAAAACGTTTTTGAACACATAATTTAGGTTTCTGTACATGTATAGCTAAAGCTTCAGCTATGCATGAGTGAAGAAAACGTACACTTTTGGAGCGATTCGAAAAAAACTGTGCTTCTACTTATGAGTAGTATTGATCCCGATAAGAATATTTGTCATTATAGTCATAGTTAAACAACAAATGATAACGAAGCAGGTTGCATAATACACAAAATCATGAGCTGACATCAGTTAGAGAACCAGTGGAAAACCTGGGAGTACTGGACAGCTGTTTCGTCCCAGTTTGGGACTTTTCAGCAGCACGTACCCACCGGAATTCCCAAACTAGGACGAAACAGCTGTCCAGTACTTCCAGGTTTTCCAGTGGTCTTCTAGTTGATGTCAGCTCATCATGAAATCCTCCATGCAATCAAACAAAATCCCTACAAAACCAATACTTGAAAATACACAAAATCATTTGTAAAATCTACAAAGGAGTAGAAAGTAAATAAGATAACTGGAAAAACAAAACGTTACGACAGTGCTTTTTATTGCAGACAAAGGTTTTAAATTACTGAAATAACAGCGGGAGTTCTTCAGAATGAAGACAACAATAGTAATGAAAAAGGCAGAGTGTACAGATTCAGTTAACAGGGTGGGAAAATAATGAAATTGCTTTAGTTTTTCTCCTCTTTTTTTCCTTTTCCGCGACTACAATAAAAAGCGAAATGGAACATGCTTTTATTATACACAAAGGGTTTGCTTCAATTCATGAACAGCCCAAGTCTCCCCATTATAACAGTTTGGTAGCGTGGAAAACGCGGTAGATGTGAGTGGACTCAGTAGACAGTACAAAACTAAGCGTCAGCATCAGCTGAATGGAGGAAATCAGAACTCCCTTCGCCCCTCATAAAATCGTGCTGGAATATGCTGTCGTATCCGTGCGCAAAGCACTATCTAACTCTGGCCTGTTTACCTCTTTCTACAAAAGCGGCTAAGCTGGTAGATACACACGGAAGAATATGTATTGAGAAGATAGTTTCTTTATTAAAGAACTGAACTATAATTTTTAAGTGCTCTTTGTAGAAATTTTCCATTTTACTCTAGCACGTGGTAAAATTAAGTGACCAGTCCTTTGTAGAAGATAACACGATAGTACATCTACTCTAGTCGCCTAACTATTCTTCTTCATTATTATTTCCAGGCTGTGTTTATCTTTATGGTAGAGACATGGGACATAAAATCACCTGCAACACTATAGATATCCGAATATTTTATCTATCGTACTTCTTTATTGTATTAGCAGTCTTTAAAATTCCCGTTTCACCTAGCGGCTGATCATAAGTAACCTAATGATTTCATATTTAAAAGACACTAGTGTAGCCGGAATGTGCAATACTTAATTATTAGCAAAGATTCTTCTCCTATTTGATTAGTTAACTGAGGACAGCATATATGCGAATACATTGAAGACGACAGAAGTTATAGTTAGATAACAATGTAATATAAAAATGACAAAAAAATTTACAATGCATGTGACAGTCACCATTCATTGTGAAAATATTAATCTTCTAATGAATTCTATCTTACAATTTACCAAAAGCACTAATTATTTTCAATGTACTAAGAAACGGTTAAGGTACATCAACACTGCTGAGTGACACAAACATTGACGAAATTCATTCAACAACTGCGTATAGGATGATGACACATATCAAGTAATCCATAACAGAAAACACAATGAAACCTCCGAAGTAAAGACAGTAGTAGTAGAACAAGGCCTCCTATTATCACCGACGATATTCTTCATCAAGGTGGACTGGATCATGAGGGAGTCGGTGGCGGGACGGACGAGCAGGAACACGGGAAAAGCTTGAACTGGTAAGAAAACTCTAGAAGATATGGACATCGTGAGTGACTTTTGTCTAGTGTCACACAAACAGACGAAAACCAATATGTTGTTAGAATCGGCCGCGAGAAAAGACAGGACTTCAAATGGACGTAGAGAAAACGGTGGTGATGAAGACATCCACCGACCAACAGCAACAACAACAACAAGCACCAATCACTGTCAACGCGACAGATCTACAGGAAGTCACTTCTTCCACTTACATAGGCGACATCGTCTCAACTGCAGGCGATACAGATGAGGAAGTCAAAGCCAACCGGGACTGGAGAAGCAAGACAGACATTCACTAATCTGAAACCAGTCTGGAGATCTGCTGCATTCAACAAGACTCAACTTTTCAACATGAGTGTTAGGTCAGTCAGTTCTTCTATGTGGATCAGAGACATGGAGTTCGAGTCACGTAAAGCACTTCACACAGGCTCTAGACTTTCATCAACAGCTGCCTTCAATACCTCCATACTGAGGATCAGATGGCGGTCGAGGGAGGACTGGCAACGAGGAACTCTGATGACAAAGAGACAATCGACAAACTATTGACCAAACGAATGCTTGGGAAAACGAAGGTGGATTGGACACACACTGAGTAGACAGTTGAGTCACAACGCGTGGAATGCAGGTCATCGTTCGAGTGAATCTCAAATGGGAATCGGCGAGTTCACCGTCTGACGATGACATGAAGGCAATCGTGTGAGGAGGAGATGTTAGTTTATGGGCAATCGAGGAGTCACCTGACGAGGACTACCAGGGAGAAGATGAAGTGCAGAAGTGTGTTTGCAGGCCTGTGTCTCGCTCGAATTCCAAGTTAATAATAATGATAATAAAATAACAGTCAGTTTTCCTGATTCAAACACTGATTCCCAGTTTGGAAATATCTATGACCACTTGATTTCTCTGGTGTCTTTCTCGACAGAAAAATGAAGTCGACTGGAGGCTTAATTACTCAATATGGCCCATCCACTCCGTAATCCAGGTTGAAAGCGAAAACGACAAACATTTTGATTCTCGGCATTTCGGAGCTTTGAAGGAACTAAATAGGAGGTCTGAAGTGATTACCTCGAAACCTGACACGGGACCAGGTTTAGTTGTACTGGATAAGCATCACTATGAAACATGGTGATTTCATGTAATCTCACGTAGTTGTATACTGGACATACTAAACAACTCTATTTTTTATGGAGAGTTTTGTTAAATATAAATAATCTTCAGATGAACTCGAATTGACGGTCAGTATTCATTGGTGGATTTGAACAAATGAAACAAAAATAAATCTTAATCAAAGTTTATTTCGTTTTCAATTATTAGATAGAATAAAACGTGTCGAAAATTATCATTGACTTGAGTGATCTACATTCATTGAAGTCTGAACGTGATTTGATTAAGAGAGATGAGACTGACAAAATCATGAGAATTTTGAATACAGTTGAAATGATTGCAAAGGCCTAATTCAGATCAATCTAATTTTCATGACGAGTATAAATAGTTGAGAAGTGACACTGTGTAATTAATTTAGCACTGAAATACATGTGATTTAGTGGATGAAATCTGGCCGATTAATTGAGACAGGAGCATGTTGGTTATGAGAAAATTCTCAATTGTTTTTTCTTCATTGTTATGCCTTCAATGCATTGCCATGCCACAACAAAGCATGACAGTATCACAAACAAGTGATATTCAAGAACTCCTCAATAAAATTGAAGAAATTTTGAAACGGCTTAGCCAGTCATCTGGTTTCTTATTTCAGTATCAGATTCAAAGAGGAGGAAAGACATCGGGTAACAGACAGTATTCAGCTCAGTTTCCGTCACAAACTGGTTCAAATAATAATGGTCAACAAACTCAACAATCACAGACTCAGGGGTCAGGGAGTTACAGTCAGTCACAAATGAGTGGACAACAGAGTCAGCAACAGTCAAGTAACTCACAGTTTCCAAACTCACCAACAAGTGATAATAAGTCACGATCACCCAACAGTCCGCAGTTTCAGATCCCCTCGCAAAGTGACGACCAATCAAATTTAGCTGATAGTGCTCGATTCGGTGACATGTCCGCACCAGCTGGTAGCTCACAAATGCCGTTTAGTCAAGAATTCCCATCCTCTCCCCAGTCACCCAGCTCGTCTCAAACATCCGGTCAACCACAATCCTCCTCCTCCTCATCCTTCCAGTCACCCAGCTCGTCTCAAACATCCGGTCAACCACAATCCTCCTCCTCCTCCTCATTCCAGTCACCCAGCTCGTCTCAGACATCTGGTCAACCACAAGCCTCCTCGTCCTCCTCGTTCCAGTCACCGAGCTCCTCTCAAACATCCGGTCAACCACAATCCTCCTCCTCCTCATTCCAGTCACCCAGCTCATCTCAGACATGCGGTCAACCACAATCCTCCTCGTCCTCCTCATTCCAGTCACCCAGCTCGTCTCAGACATCCGGTCAACCACAATCCTCCTCCTCCTCATTCCAGTCACCCAGCTCATCTCAGACATCCGGTCAACCACAATCCTCCTCCTCCTCATTCCAGTCACCCAGCTCGCCTCAGACATCCGGTCAACCACAATCCTCCTCGTCCTCCTCGTTCCAGTCACCGAGCTCGTCTCAAACATCCGGTCAACCACAATCCTCCTCGTCCTCCTCATTCCAGTCACCCAGCTCGTCTCAGACATCCGGTCAACCACAATCCTCCTCCTCCTCATCCTTCCAGTCACCCGGCTCGTCTCAGACATCCGGTCAACCACAATCCTCCTCCTCCTCCTCATTCCAGTCACCCAGCTCACCTCAGACATCCGGTCAACCACAATCCTCCTCGTCCTCCTCGTTCCAGTCACCGAGCTCATCTCAAACATCTGGTCAACCACAATCCTCCTCCTCCTCCTCATTCCAGTCACCCAGCTCACCTCAGACATCCGGTCAACCACAATCCTCCTCGTCCTCCTCGTTCCAGTCACCGAGCTCGTCTCAGACATCCGGTCAACCACAATCCTCCTCCTCCTCATCCCTCCAGTCACCCGGCTCGTCTCAGACATCCGGTCAACCACAATCCTCCTCCTCCTCATCCTTCCAGTCACCCAGCTCGTCTCAAACATCTGGTCAACCACAAGCCTCCTCGTCCTCCTCATTCCAGTCACCCAGCTCGTCTCGAACATCCGGTCAACCACAATCCTCCTCCTCCTCATTCCAGTCACCCAGCTCATCTCAGACATCCGGTCAACCACAATCCTCCTCCTCCTCATTCCAGTCACCCAGCTCGCCTCAGACATCCGGTCAACCACAATCCTCCTCGTCCTCCTCGTTCCAGTCACCGAGCTCGTCTCAAACATCCGGTCAACCACAATCCTCCTCCTCCTCATCCTTCCAGTCATCCAGCTCGTCTCAGACATCCGGTCAACCACAATCCTCCTCCTCCTCATCCTTCCAGTCACCCGGCTCGTCTCAGACATCCGGTCAACCACAATCCTCCTCCTCCTCCTCATTCCAGTCACCCAGCTCACCTCAGACATCCGGTCAACCACAATCCTCCTCGTCCTCCTCGTTCCAGTCACCGAGCTCATCTCAAACATCTGGTCAACCACAATCCTCCTCCTCCTCATCCTTCCAGTCACCCAGCTCGTCTCAGACATCCGGTCAACCACAATCCTCCTCCTCCTCATCCTTCCAGTCACCCAGCTCGTCTCAAACATCTGGTCAACCACAAGCCTCCTCGTCCTCCTCATTCCAGTCACCCAGCTCGTCTCGAACATCCGGTCAACCACAATCCTCTTCCTCCTCCTTCCAGTCACCGAGCTCGTCTCAGACATCCGGTTAATCACAATCTTCTAGCAGTGTTCAGTCTTTATCACGCTCATAATTATTTAGTCTTTCATATCCACATATGTACCTGTATGTCACCATCTGCAGAGATTTTCAAATTGCATTAACCTAATTGAATAAAATCAATGTTTAATAAACGTTTTAATAATTTTTCAATTTTTCTTCGAAGGACTGCGGGTCTTTATTTGAATGAATTGTACTTTTGATGTGATCTGTTTGTATGTAGTGTGATTTGTGGTGTTTATTATGGGAATCAATTAGTTTGCTTTATGAATTTTGACAAAGCATTAAGAAGGCGTAATTTATATGGATCTTGTAATTTCTTTGGGCAACACATTTTAAACAATCTGATCACATACGTACTTGTCATAGAAATAAATATCAAAATAATAAAGCGTTAAGGGGTAAGAAAATAGACACAGGTAAAGTTAAAATGCAAAAATAAAGATCGAAATAACAATGGAGAATACGAAGCCAAAGAAGGGATGTAATAGTACACCTGTCCTGATATCAAAACAAAGTGGAACACATTGTCTGCATCACACCACCACATTATGATTACCCATATAGGGTAGATTGATTTAGACGCCTGTCTTAGTGGCGAGTTGGAGAGTGGGGTCGTAGTGATCTACCCACTTTATATGTCCATATGAACTTGTCTGGAAAATTATTATCAACCAGAGTCTGTGTCAGCTTTCTTTCTTCATCATTAAATGTGTCTTCGGTGCATATAAGTTGGATTCTATTGAAGGGGCGCCTCATTAAGGCTCCTTTGTACCGAACAGGACAGAAATTGTGGAAATTAAGATACTGTCCTATGCACGTAGGTTTTCTACAAATAGGTCGTTTTATTGACCCATCAGGCCGTGAACTAATCAATGTATCTAAGATAGAGAAACAATTATCCCTATCTTCTACAGACGCAAGTAGAACTTCTTTCATTCGATTTAAAACTGAAGTGACAGAACAAGGCCTATCACTTATGATTACAGTGTCACCGATATATCTTCTATAAGGTGGTACATTTTTGATTAAGTCTGCCGATAAACTCTCAATGTACAACATTTAGATATCTGTTAATAGGAGCTCCGATGGATTTCCTATAGCAGCACCATCAAAATGACGGATGTAGTCATCTTCAAATGTGAACCTAACACTGCTAGTACAGACAAGTAACAAATCCTTTAAATAAGATATGGGGAACGGGATTAGAAAATTATGTGTGGAAATGTAACCACACAAATTGTCAGTCGTCTTGAATTATATTATATTATTATTGTTCCCTTGGGTTCCTGGTGGAACATAGGGCTTCAACTACACGTCTCCACTTGCTTCTGTATTCTGCTGTACTTTTCACTTGCATCCATGTTAATCCATACTGTTTCAACTCCTCTTCACACGATCTCCTCCATGTCACCCTTGGACGTCACACTCGCCACTTCCCTTTCGGGTTCCACTCGAGTGGCCTGACGCGCGATGTCACCCAACGGCCTCCCCAGCGAGTGTCCAATCCATCTCCACTTTCTCCTGCATATTTGTTGAGCGATTGGTTCTTGTTTTGTTCGTTCCCATAGTGTCTTGTTGATGATTCTTTCCGGCCATCTAATCTTCAATATAGAACGAAGACAGTTGTTGATAAAGGTGTGCAACAGGCTGTTGGAAATATTCTTTGTGACCCGCCAAGTTTCTGATCCGTATAGAAGAACTGACTGACTTGACGTTTGTATTGAAAATCCGAATTTCGTTGTTGATGCTGAGTGACAGCGGAAGATTTGCAGATTGGTTTCAGGTTGATGAATGTGTTTCTCGCCTTCCCGATTCTCGATTTGACATCCTCGTTCGTTCCTCCTGTAGTTGAGACAATGCTCCCTAGATAAGTGAAAGAAGTAACCTCTTTCAAATTCCTCCCGTTGATGGTGATTGGCGGTGGATGTTGCTGCTGCTGCTGTTGTTGTTGTTGGTTGGTTATTTTCATAACCTCCGTCTTGTCTATGTTCACCTGCAGTCCTGTCTTCTCTGGCTGCTTCTTCGACCAGTTTGTCGGTTTTCGCTTGTAAGTCTTCGATTTTGTGTGACATCAAACATAAATCATCTGCGAAATCCAGGTCTTCTAGGTTCTTCACGTCGGTCCAGGATATCCCTGTCTTCTCGTTTCCCACTGTCTGACGACGCATAATCCAGTCCACCACAATTAGGAATATCATTGGTGATAATAAGCACCCTTGTCTGACTCCTGTGTTTACTCCAAACGCCTCACTGAGTTTTCCGTTGTGGATCACTTGACATGTGCCGTTGTCGTACAGCTATTGAATCAGGTGGATGAATATTTGGGGTAAATCAGACATATGCGAATCAAAAAATTGGTTGATTATGTCGAAATGATTGTTTTAAAGCAACTGTGATTAAAGTATCATGCCATCAACAAAACTGTATTACTAGGCATCAACTCAGAAAATCAACCTCACATGGTAGGGTATTTTACAGTCTTCCTTCTAATTTTTTAAATCCCAGTGCCAGTATAACTTTACATACATCTAAAATGGGTGTTATTCCATCACAAATTCTAAGACAAACAAAAGTATTAAGGTCGCAAACATTAAACTCAAGTCTTATGCTAAAACATGCAAATGGGAAAACAGGCAATAAAACATTCCTCGTTAACTTACTCAGTAAACGACGTTCTTTTCCCAAACACTGTATTCAATAAAAATTCTGCCTAGTATATACTCGTAAAGGTCGTCAAATAATGCTATACAGATTTGAGGTAATTTGTGAATACTCACACAGAAAGGCATCACTTTTTTTCAAGGTATCAGTGGGTCATGCTATTTGTCTGATTGTCCTCTAGTCAAATTACAGAAGTATATGCACAGCTCAATACATCTTAATTTTACTGGTTATTCTAGTGTTTGTGACAAGTACTAACAATTATGACTGCCGCATGTCTACGCCTAGGTTGAATACACGCTCAGTTTTCAAGCTGTCTGACAACTCATGTGTCTATTAGATGGTTGGAGGCAATCGGCCACAGGAAGCCTTGGACCTAGGTTTCCTGCTAGTTGGCACTCATCAGCAAGACGTATCTGCAATCTTGAAGGGACATGAGTGCCAACTAGCAGGAAACCTAGGTCCAAGGCTTCCTGTGGCCGATTGCCTCCAACCATCTAATAGACACATGAGTTGTCAGACAGCTTGAAAACTGAGCGTGTACTCAACCTAGGCGTAGACATGCGGCAGTCATAATTGTTAGTACTTGTCACAAACACTAGAATAACCAGTAAAATTAAGATGTATTGAGCTGTGCATATACTTCTGTAATTTGACTAGAGGACAATCAGACAAATAGCATGACCCACTGATACCTTGAAAAAAAGTGATGCCTTTCTGTGTGAGTATTCACAAATTACCTCAAATCTGTATAGCATTATTTGACGACCTTTACGAGTATATACTAGGTAGAATTTTTATTGAATACAGTGTTTGGGAATAGAACGTCGTTTACTGAGTAAGTTAACGAGGAATGTTTTATTGCCTGTTTTCCCATTTGCATGTTTTAGCATAAGACTTGAGTTTAATGTTTGCGACCTTAATACTTTTGTTTGTCTTAGAATTTGTGATGGAATAACACCCATTTTAGATGTATGTAAAGTTATACTGGCACTGGGATTTAAAAAATTAGAAGGAAGACTGTAAAATACCCTACCATGTGAGGTTGATTTTCTGAGTTGATGCCTAGTAATACAGTTTTGTTGATAGCATGATACTTTAATCACAGTTTGTTTAAAACAATCATCTCGACATAATCAAACAAATTTCTGATTCGCATATGTCTGATTTTCATACATCCAAGGTTTTATATTCCGTCAATCTTACAACGCATACTGATGAAAAAGGATGAAGAATTTCTTAGGAATGTTACTGTCCCAAATTATTGGATGTTGGTACATACAGAACAACATCTGAGACTTTTTTTCTAAACCGTAAGTTATAAGATTTGATAGTGTCGAAAATTCCCATATTATGAATTAAAAGTCAATCTGAACGAAGAATATTCTTTTCAATAATTTCTCTTCAGGTTCTTACAATTATAAAATATAATATTTGTTGTCGTTACAATAAGGCCAGTTATGCGGCAGATACATTTTTAACGTAGAATAACAGATTAGTTATGGGGTGTCAAAATAAATAGTCGTATTTGTGTGACAAACGTGCTAGGCTGAATTCGATTACAAAATAATGTAAAACGGGAGACAATGGTGATTAATCATAATAGATTTGTAGAGTGGGGGTAGGAAAATTGACAAGTCAGTTCAAGGTTATAAAAGGTGTCAGGTGAGTGGCTAGTACAAAGTGGTCTGTGTTAAACAGGAGATAGTAAGACTGCATTGGGAGGTTCATAATGAGATAACGAATATGTGAAATGAAACAGGTGGAGGCATATATTGAGAAAAGAGATAATATCACTAATAATAAGTCCGGATAGTATAAACGAAAAAAAAATTCGATAGTATTGAGAGAATGTTTGCATGAAGGGCATAAATTATGACGAATAATGATAATATTAATAATAATAATAATAGTAATAATTGTAATAATAAGCAAAGGAAAAAAAAAAAAAGCCAAGAGGGTTAAGGGGAAGGAGCACTCTTGGTGAGAAGAAGAATCATCAATCCAAGTTTGGCCACGGTAGGAACAGCGTCTGGACGTGTTCTTTTTGGATACAAAGTTCCGGTTTAGTCGATCTTATTGCAACAGCTTCAGCTATGTGTAGAAGACGTAAGCGAACTGTACATGATAACGACTTCGGAATTCGGTATATAACCCTGAAAGCTGTGTTGACATCGATATGATGTCCAGTATCGACCAAGTGTGACAGGATCGAGCTTTTTATGCACTTAATTTCCCCTCTGCTGAACCAAGCTGGTATATGTTCTCGAACCCGTAGACGAACCTGCCTAATCGCGCGCCTTATATAACTTGAACCACAGGAACAGT